AATTGCTTTGATTTCTAATTGCTTTGATTTCTAATTGCTTTGATTTCTAATTGCTTTGATTTCTAATTGCTTTGATTTCTTATTGCTTTGATTTCTAATTGTTTTGATTTCTAATTGCTTTGATTTCTAATTGCTTTGATTTCTAATTGCTTTGATTTCTAATTGCTATGATTTCTTTTAAACGATAGTCTTGCAAAAAGAATTCTTAAAAAATTTCTTTTCTAACAAAATATTTGTTTTTGATTTAAGGAATATTGTTTAGATAGGAAGATAGGAAAGACAAGATAAGCTGGATATAGATATTATCCAAGATAATATTTCAGAATATATAAAAAGGTGAACTCTACATCTATATATATAGAAGTATCTATGTTTGTCTGTTTGTTTGTTTTTGTTTCCGATCATAACTCAGGAACCCCGTGACCGAGTTTCCTCAAATTTTGATTGGGGAACTTGGAAGAACCACGGTAGTGTTCTTAACTTTTTTTTTAGATTCTAAAATGAGTGGGTCGACTTTTATCGGGAAAAATAGCTAAAATCGTAATTTCAGACCAAGCGCAAGATATTTATTAAAATAGTTGAAAACAGACTACTACCGTATGTATAGGATAAACCAATAATACAATAAACAAGCATGGGAAAACTTTATTTTATATTTGTGTATTCTATTTCTAAATATCTGTATTTTATGTATTTATGAGACAGCGAAAATGTCCCATTGTTGAATTGTATTGTGAAGTTAAATTATTCTGGAAAACTATTAAAGCAAGGCCTGCACTTCAAAACAGATTTCATTCAGATTTTAAATTAAATAAAAACAAAGATTAACTTTTTCCATATTTTTCAAACTTGTTTTTTAACCCAGAGTTCATTTTTTCAATTAAAAAAATCTAGGATCTTATTTTTGAACAAACATTTTTTTAAATGTATTTATTCTAATATTATTAGCAAAATTAAGAATATCTAGATGAAGTGCCCAGCGTTGCCCGTGGAATAATTAACATCGAACTTTAAAAAAATTAGAATTTCGTGGAAAAGAAATTTCGAATTTGTTTAGCCTGTGTTACCTCTGAGGTACTCAAAGGTTCCCGCAAAAAATTCAGCCCATTCGGTCCAGCCATTTGGCCAGCTTTTATAGGTAACACATATGCATACAAATATATATGTTTATTTGAGCAAAAAGCCATTTCATTTAGAAGATAATAAAAAAGAACTTGGAATGTCTTAAAACTCTGAAAAACTAGAATATCTTTAATATCTATCTATCTATCTATATCTACATTCACAACATTGGTAGTTTAAGTTTTACAACAGTTTTATAGCTCCTATAATACAAGATACAAGATACTTGGAACATTTCTATTTAGAATTCTTAATCTACTAAATAGAATTTCTTATATTTAAATCTTACTGGTGGGGGTCTGGATAAATATAAAGCTATAGAAAAAGACCTTGCAGTAAATAGGTATGAAATTTCATAGACTTCTAAATTTACTGGTTATGATGCTTGAGAGGTTAAAAGTTCTGGAGGAAACTTTGTTGTGTCCAATTATTTAGGGTCATATAAATACAGTGATAACCAGAAAACTTTGAAATAGGAAGACGACTTTTATACTTAATTTAGGACTTAAACTTGTTCAATGAACATTAGACATAGCAATCGTGCAATGCGAATAGACCCAATTCACTTATAAATTGCTTTGCTAAGTTACTAGTAACAGTTGTGATCTCTAATATAAGTTGACAGAGATTTGTAGTTTTTCCTAAAAACCTTCTTTTTTACTTTAATTAATGGCAGCAATGGTTGTTTACAGGTTCGTCCTGACAACAAACTAAGCCTTCTCAAGGACCGGAACAATGAAAAAATGTTGACCTTTTATTATTTTCAAAAAATTTGGCCCGTCCACAGTGGTCAAGGGATGAGCGAAACCCGCCAATTTTGTAATCTAAATTTAGATTTTTTTTTTTATAAAGTCTATATATTGTGGAATTTTTCCGAAAATATTTCTAAAAATCCTTTTACTCAGGCCAAAATGTGCTGCCAACAAAAATGGCTTAAAACTATTCAAATTTGACAATTACCTAAAACTTATTTTTTTATTTAAAAAAAACTAACACTTGGCCCATTTTTCTAACACTCAGTGTTAGAAATGGGCCGCATCTGCAAAGTTATCTTTTTCAAGCGTATATATCTTTAAATCTAGGCCGAGTTGAACAAAAATACACCATACATTTAAAAAAAGGGCTAAAACTAATTATTGAAACAAGAAATGTCAACGTTAAACTGATAATAAGGTATGAGAATTAGTTTTTGATGATATTGGTTTTCATTTTCGGACATATCCCTTTTTTGAAACATTTTCAACATTTCAGCTCATGTCGCGTTTTTGGAACATATCCTGGTTTCTCGAATTCATATCAATGTCAATTTTCATGCATTTACGCATTAACGTAAAAAAAACAAGATTTTTTGATTAGGTAAAATATAAACAAAATAGAAAAAAATACTGTTCATTTTTATTTTAAAGTCATTATATCGAAATTTTAATATTGTTTTGTTCTTTTAACATAAATTTAACTAGCTAAATCCGGGAAATTGTTTATTTAAAATGCAGGAAATTAAATAAACTTTATTCTCTTATATAACAAATAAAATAGGGAAATAAAGATTTTAGAAATAATTTAGCAATTCATTTAGTCTTCATAAGATATTTTTCACTTTCAGTGATTTATTTTGCAAGTTATGAAAGTGAGTTTTGTTCTGAATTGAGGATTATATTCAACGGGAAAGTGGGATTTGTCTCGAAAACGCGACAATGATTCAAATTCAGGATATGTTTGAAAATGGAAAACCTAACATTGTCTTGAAAACGGTCAAGGGGTTTAATACTACTTTTATAATTTTTATTCCAGAAAATAGTTTTAAATTGGGAATTGTTGTCCTCGTTATGCTTAATAAAATGTTGGTTATAGTTTAAATTATACACTTTTACTCTCGAAATGGATCGGATTCCTTAAAAACCCGGTCTTTTAATTTGTGCCCATTTCTAACCCTTGAATTCATGCATTTTCCTCTAAAAGTCACAGTTTCAAAATAAATTTTTATTGCAAATTAATTTCATCTGGCAAGTTTAATGGTAGGTATTCTAGAATTAAACTAGTTTAATGGTTGAATATATTCTAGATATTCTAGAATTAAACTAGTTTAATGGTTGAATATATTCTAGATATTCTAGAATTAAACTAGTTTAATGGTTGAATATATTCTAGATATTCTAGAATTAAACTAGTTTAATGGTTGAATATATTCTAGATATTCTAGAATTAAACTAGTTTAATGGTTGAATATATTCTAGATATTCTAGAATTAAACTAGTTTAATGGTTGAATATATTCTAGATATTCTAGAATTAAACTAGTTTAATGGTTGAATATATTCTAGATATTCTAGAATTAAACTAGTTTAATGGTTGAATATATTCTAGATATTCTAGAATTAAACTAGTTTAATGGTTGAATATATTCTAGATATTCTAGAATTAAACTAGTTTAATGGTTGAATATATTCTAGATATTCTAGAATTAAACTAGTTTAATGGTTGAATATATTCTAGATATTCTAGAATTAAACTAGTTTAATGGTTGAATATATTCTAGATATTCTAGAATTAAACTAGTTTAATGGTTGAATATATTCTAGATATTCTAGAATTAAACTAGTTTAATGGTTGAATATATTCTAGATATTCTAGAATTAAACTAGTTTAATGGTTGAATATATTCTAGATATTCTAGAATTAAACTAGTTTAATGGTTGAATATATTCTAGATATTCTAGAATTAATGTCTCTACTTCTACTCAGCTTTATTAATCCTATTTGAAGACTCTGCTGTACTCCGCCCTAATTTATTAGAAGCACATATTAAGCCTCTTCTTACACTAAATATCTGCATAAATACAAATCTGAATCAAAATACATTTTCAGAGACTTTTCAGCTTTTTAAAATTTATTTGTCAAGATTTACATTTATATTTATATATCTTATATTTATATCTACATATAAATTTAGAGAATAAGATACTTAAATATATGATTGGGAAAAATGATATTACTACAATATTATTGATCAAATTAATACTGCAATATTATTGATCACATAATACTACAATATCATTGATCATATAATACTAAAATACTATTGATCACATAATACTACAGTATTATTGATCACATAATACTACAATATCACTGATCATATAATACTACAATATTATTGATCACATAATACTACAATATTACTGATCACATAATACTACAATATTATAAATCACATTAATACTGCAATATTATTGATCACATAATACTACAATATCATTGATCATATAAAACTACAATATTATTGATCACATAATACTACAATATTACTGATCACATAACACTACAATATTATTGATCACATAATACTACATTATAATTTATCTTAAATAATAAAATATTATTGATCACATAATACTGCAATATTATTGATCACATAATACTACAATATTGTTGATTGCATCAATATTACAATGTTATTGATCACATAATACTACAATATTATTGATCACATAATACTATAATATTATTGATCACATAATACTACAATATTATTGATCACATAATACAACAATATTATTGATCACATAATACTAAAATATTGTTGATTGCATTAATATTACAATGTTATTGATCACATAATACTATAATATTATTGATCACATAATACTACAATATTATTGATCTGATCACATAATACTAAAATATTGTTGATTGCATTAATATTACAATGTTATTGATCACATAATACTATAATATTATTGATCACATAATACTACAATATTATTGATCCCATAATACTACAATATTATTGATCACATAATACAACAATATTTTTGATCATAATACTACTGTATTATTGATCACATAATACTACAATATAAATTGATCACATTAATACTACAATATTATTGATCACATAATACTACAATATTATTGATCACATTATACAACAATATTATTGATCATATAATACTACAATATTATTGATCACATATTACTGCAATATTATTGATCACATTAATACTACAATATTATTGATCACATAATACTACAATATCATTGATCATATAATACTGCAATATTCTTGATCACATAATACTACAATATCTATTTTGTGTTTCTAATTTCTCATATTTCTCTTGATAGTCAGAGTACAAAGATTCATAGGATTCCTAAAATAGATTATACAAATATTAGAATTTAAGTAAATTTAGCAAATTATTACTAATTAACCGTTTATAGCTAGAATTATATAACTTAAAATTAACAGAATTAGTTATTTTTATTTAAAGAAAATTCAAATTTTATCTGTTAAATAAAGATATTTATTTATAAGACTGTTGACAACATTTTAGGACATTTTTTATTTTTTATTTTTTTATTATTTTATATTTAACCCCATGATATAGAAACTTTTAATTGAACGGAAATAGCTTAATTCTTTCTGTTTAAGATTTCATTGATCAAATTCGGGGATTCGGCTTTAAATTTCCTGAATTTGATTAACTGATTTTATCCATTTAAACAAAATTTCGCGTGTGGCTTTGTTTGGATTAAAATTCGCAAAGTTACCATTTTTAAATTTATTTTTACATTCTACACAAGGAATGAAAATACCAACATATGCATATTAATTTCTATGCAAATGAAAGCAAAGGAATTGAGTCTTTGTAACTAACTCTGATTTTCTAATACCTATATTTTTTCCACCTGATGGTGTAATCATTTGATATTTCAAGCTTAGATTTTTTCATCTAACAGAATTCATAGTTTGAAATATCAAAGGTCTACGGCATTGGATTACAAAGATATAAAGATTAGAAAATCATAGTTTGTGACAAAGACTCAATTCCTTTAGTGTTTAAATTCTTTAAAAAGCCATTACAAAACTAATTCATTAAACAAATAAACCAAGACATATAAAATGTTTTATAATTACATGTCTCACTAAACAAGAATTTTATTAAGAAATCATATGCATACCAAACATGAATAATAAATCTCCCCGAATAAGACTTGTAGCTAAAATGTGCCACGTATCAGGACTTATGGCTGAGTATCTCAAATGTGTACAATATCTCACCAAACAGGAATAAAGTATAAATATCTCACCAAACAAGACTAATGTTTCAAATATCTCATAAACAAGACTAACGTTTAAAATATCTCGCCAAACAAGACAAATGTTTGAAATATCTTACAAAACAAGACTAATGTTTGAAATATCTCACCAACCAAGAATAATGTTTCAAATATCTCACCAAACAAGAATAATGTTCAAAATATCTCACCAAACAAGATTAATGTTTGAAATATCTTACCAAACAAGATTAATGTTTAAAATATCTCACCAAACAAGAATAATGTTTAAAATATCTCACCTAACAAGAATAATGTTTAAAATATCTCATTGAACAAGATTAAAGTTTAGAGTATCTCAACAAACAAGATTAACGTTTAAAAATCTCACCAAACAAGCTTGGCAGGTACATATTTCTTCATCCTCGCTATCCTCGTACTTGAAGTAATTTGCTTCCGACTAAAACACAAAGATTTTTCTATTTTTCATAAAGATTAAGTTTTGCCCAAAAATGAACTTTTAAAACTTTGAAGGCGAGGAATAAAAAAATTAAAATGGAATTTTGAGCAAATTTTAGTAAATTGCCAAGCACTCATCAGTACTTTTTAATGATTGTTTATAGTTAATAATCTGATTGATAAAATATGTTTTTTTCTTTACATAATTTTGTTAATAATTCTTTTAACGTATAATGAAAGCTGTTTCTATGTTGAATGGGGGGGGTGTTTTCCACCCCCTCCCCTGTGTTTTTTTCTAAACAACTTATAACGTTAGAACGTTAGAACTTAAAATATTTTGAACAAATTTTGCTTAACATTTTTTTTGATGCATAGGATAGGGTAGAGGACATTCAAACGCCGGGTCAGTGTTTTAAAAAATTAGAAATGGTTAATAACTTTTTTATTAATTAAGCTACAGGGCTAAAATTTATATTTATTTAAGAGGCCCTTAAAATGGATATTAATACTTGTCAGTAAAAATATTTATTTTGAGTATTTTCCGAGGTACTCTTTGAACTTTTTAAAAAATCCTTTCTTGTAACCTAACCATTACAGATAGAGTATGATTTTTTAATGAGCAGGCCTTGAAAAGTTAGACTAGGGACATGTATCACAACTCCCCATCTTAATTAAATCTAAGGGAAAAACTTGTCCAATTGGGATAAACCTCTAGATAATAACCTCTAATTTCTCCAAATATATCCGCTTAAACTCCTCAGCTAAAACTGTGTCATCTTTTCCATTGTTTTTCTCTTTCCTTATCTCCGCATCTTCCATTTGATTTTCCCCGTCCTGTAGATTTATTCCCTCATCTTGTAGACGGATCTGATTAATTCCCTCATCCTCTAGACTTATCCTACTGTCCAAAATAGTTGTGACAACTTTCTCCTCTTCTTCCCTCCTGTTCTCCGCCTTCCCTTTCTTCCCCTTCTCCACGATCCTGTCAGTCCGGTCCGGTATTGCTCTGTTAGCTTGTCGTGCCCTCCGCCTAATAATAAAAATAGAGTGTTTTCATTGGCTGACCTAGAAATATTTCGCGGATTTTTTGTTTTAATTGGTTGTTTCAGATTCAGATGATTTAACTAAAATTCCTGCAGTTAATTCTTTTCAGAAAAATATTTTATATACAGAGCGTCCCATATCACATTAGATTATCTCTAATCTTTAACGACAAAATAAACCCTTAATACTCGAAGAACTTTTCATTTTCCGCAAGAAAATTCTTATATAAGCCTTATGTTATTTTTCAAAATGATTTATTCGAATTAAATTTTCTTATTAGTCCCGAAAATCGCAATTTAGACCCGTTGACGGTCTAATATGATGTGGGACACCCTGTATTTAAATAAAAAAAAATTGAGGGAAAATAAAAGTTTCAGATAGAATATATGGCGACTGCCAAGTTAGAAAACAATATGGCTTCAGACTGAAGAAAGAATCTTGTTTTTCTTCTTCCCTTCAATAAATTTCAGCAAAGGAATTTGCAAACTTAAACTGTAGAAGTTGATTAAATTTTCGAGGATTTCAGAGAATAGTTGAAATATTCGTTATATGGAAACTCGGAGATGAAATTACAAATTATAGAAATAAAATTCCCGTTCTGTAGATCTTGTATATTGCTGTAAGGATAGTCATTTGAATATAAATTACATTATTTTATATATCTTGGAGATCCATGTAGTATTTGTATTATCCAGAAATAACTATAATACTGTTATTTTGGTTGGCAGTATTGTAAAGTTGTTTTTTATAACTTTTTCCCTATATCGAGAAGGTTCCAGTCTTTTTAGATTTAATATAATCTAAAAAGGTGAGAACCTTCGAGATATAGGGAAAAATACAAATACAAATACTACATGGATCTCCAAGATATATAAAATAATGTAATTTATATTCAAATGACTTAATTTAAGTCCAAAAACTTTATAGCACGTCGTGCCAAAATAATAGTGTTATAGGTAATTTTATGTAACGTTTGTGTACTTGTCTTATTTCAATGGCTATTTCTAGATCAAATAAGCGTTGAAACAAAGCAGAAGTCAAAATATAAAGTTGATTTCAATTTCCTTCTCATTTCAATCGAAAAAAAATATTTTGGAAATATCCTAATTTTTTTTGAGGAAATCTGGGAACTAATCAAAACTTTATAGCACACGTGCTATATTGTACAGCTAATTTAACTTTATAGCACGTTTATTATGAAATCCACGATGAAGTGAGGAAGAATGATAAAGAACACTACAGTTTAGTTTCAAAAAAAAATGGATGAATATACCATTATAAGAATAGAAGGAGGGATGACAAAATACCGGTTTCATTCACTTTTTTTAAATCAGTGTTTCTTGTGTGTTAAAATTATACTTAATACTAAATATCTGATATTTGAAAACGTACAATTTTAAAGTAGCAATTATACTTTTGTAATAAGAAGGAAGAAAAGACGACTTTTAAGCCTGTTTCTTCGCCACAAAATCTGATTTTCTGAACTGAGCCCTAAATCTTTGCAACCCAATCTCGTAAACATTAGATATTTTAAACGATGAATTATTTTGGATCAAAAAATCTGAGTTTACTTCATACGGTTGCACAGATATCGGGATTATAAAGTCAATTTCTATACGTAAATCTGTTTAACAAATATTTGCATGCATTTTTTTGCATTTGACATTTATGTATTAGTTTTAATAAGTTGCACAATAAAAGGTTTAAGAGTCATCAAAGTTTATTTAAATGTTACCTTCGGAACGGAGAGCAAAAGAGAACCTTTTCCTAACAAATAAAATATATATTTTAAAGCAAAAACAAAAAGATATTTTTGAAATTTCTGCAATTTAGAATCATTTTGGGCTCAGTTCACATTTGATTTTTATCTCACTTTTTGTAGAGCTACCTTGCAAGCCTCAAAAAACATGGTAATCAATTATTGTAAATTAAGATTTTTTTGAAGTACTAGAAAAAACTGAATTTTTGCAACAAATTCTAATTTTCTAATCCCTATATCGTTGCAATCCAATTAATCCTTTAATATTTCAAGTTATGAATTATGTTAGACCAAATAATATAAGCTAAAAATATAAAAGGTTTACACCATCAGGGTGTAAAGATATAGACATATGAAAATTTGAGTTTGCAGCAAAAACTCAGAAAAAGGGGTTACGGGACAGTGCACCGAATGCATCTCTTACTGATCACGAGTCTGGTTAATTTGATATTGAACCAACTTGATTAAAAAGGGGATTTCAAAATAAGAGAAAAGTTTGCTTCAGTCGAAACATTTATTAAGATTTGAATTGTTTGTTCCTAAAATTCATTAAAAAACTATGCAACTAAAATTAAGTAACCTGATTATTTTGTTCTTTATTTTCTATTCTTGAATACTTTCTACTCGCCATTGCACGAACAGGACTAGACATCACGGACAGATTTACAAATGCACCCTAGAATACAAATCCTAGAATATAAATCCTATAATATAAATCCTAGAATACAAATCCTAGAATATAAATCCTAGAATATAAATCCTAGAATACAAATCCTAGAATAAATTCCTGAAATATAAATCCTAGAATATAAATCCTAGGATGTAAATCCTAGAATATAAATTCTAGAATATAAATCCTGGTTTACAAATCCTAAAATACAAATCCAAGAACATAAATCCTAGAATATAAATTCTAGAATATAAATCCTGGAGTACAAATCCTAGAATACAAATCCTAGAATACAAATCCTAGAATACAAATCCTGAAATACAAATCCTAGAATACAAATCCTGGAATACAAATCCTAGTATACAAATCCTAGAATAAAAATCCTAGCATATAAATCCTGGAATACAAATCCTAGAATACAAATCCTGGAATACTAATCCTAGAAAATAAATCCTAGAATACAAATCCTAGAATATAAATCGTAGAATATAAATCCTAGAATATAAATCCTGGAATACATATCCTAGAATACAAATCCTAGAATACAAATCCTAGAATATAAATCCTTAAATACAAATCCTAGAATACAAATCCTAGAATACAAATCCTGGAATACAAATTCTAGAATACAAATCCTAGAATACAAATCCTAGAATACAAATCCTAGAATATAAATCCTGGAATACAAATCCTAGAATACAAATCCTAAAACACAAATCCTAGAATACAAATCCTAGAATACAAATCCTGGAATACAAATCCTAGAATACAAATCCTAGAATACAAATCCTAGAATACAAATCCTAGAATACAAATCCTAGAATATAAATCCTGGAATACAAAACCTAGAATACAAATCCTGGAATATAAATCCTGGAATACAAATCCTGGAAAACAAATCCTAGAATACAAATCCCAGAAAATAAATCCTGGAATACAAATCCTAGAATACTATTCCTAGAATACAAATCCTGGTATACAAATCCTAGAATACAATTCCTAGAATATAAATCCTGGAATACAAATCCTAGAATACAAATCCTAGAATACAAATTCTAGAATATAAATCCTAGACTATAAATCCTGGAATACAAATCCTAGAATACAAATCCTAGAATATAAATCCTAGAATACAAATCCTAGAATACAAATCCTAGAATACAAATCCTAGAATACAAATCCTAGAATTCAAGTCCTATAATACAAATCCTAGAATACAAATCCTGGAACAAAATAACGACTTTTTTAATTCAAGATAAATATTTAAATTTTGAAATGAAAAAATGTGTCAAAAACTTTTTATAAAAATACTCATCATCTCTGTATACAATAAAAATACATTGTAAGGTTAAAAAAATGATTGAGGGTACGTAGCTTCTAGATAAATATTTGTTGCAAATTTAAAATTAAGATTTTTCTTCTCTTCTTCTTTTCTTAAAATGATCAATTTGTTCTAAACAGTAGCTATATAAATATAACTTACCTTTACTCTGGATCCTTTCTTAGAATCATCAGTAGAGAAATCAGAATCTAGAATAGAAAAGTTCTCTTTATGTCTTGTTATCGAATTATTCTTTCGTACTCACAGCATCATTTTTAAACACTTTTTATACAGTATTATACCAGCCCCCACAGGATAAGACTTGCAATGTTGACTTGAAATCTATTTATATATACTTTGCTTGTCTGGGTGTCTGTCTGTTTGTTTGTGTCCAATAAACGTCAAAACTACCCCAATTTTTTTTAATCCGCGAACTTTTTGTTTGGTTTTGAGAAAATGTTCACAATTGAAATAGAAGATGTGCGCAAAGCGCTCTGAAAGCCTAATTCTTTAAATATAACGATCTAAAGTTGGTAGCTGAGGTAATCACAGATGAAAGATAAACCAATTCTGTAGAGTCGTCTATTAGGTTCTTTATTTTACCTCCCGTACCTGAACTATATGATTGATTGATTGAGCTGATTGTTTCCATATTTTCATTTCTTGGAGGATTTTCCGGACTCACTTCTTTATCTAAATAATATCCTCTTCCTTTTATTAGCCTGAGTCTAAAACTAAAGAACGAAAAGTTCTGACTTAAATTTTAAGTTCATGGTTAAATGCCACTTCTGACTTAATTTAAACCTGAACTTTAACCGTGAGGTTAAATATTTAACCCTGTGGTTAAATATTTAACTCGCCGAAATCGACGAGTTAAAATTAAAACACAGGTTTAAAATCTTGAAATCCGGCATTTTCCCTATAGTCTATTATTCAATCATCATTCAGCTGAGAATTAGCGGCATTTAACTTTACGATATATTTAAAAGTGAAAACCTTGTTAAAGAAAATTCACGTTTTAGATAAATTAATTTTTGCATGTAAACCCAAAAAACGGTTGTAACTCGAAATATGTTTTGTTTTCGGTTACGTAATAACAGCTGATTAGCGATGGTTATGTAATATTCTCCGTAAATCCTTTTCTCTGATTGGTTCAGATTTTTCCCGGGAAATTCAAATTTAAAATTGAGAAAGTTTAATATTTAAGTAGCTATTCATTATTTTACAGAACTTTTAACCTCGAACTTAAAATTCGCGCATTCTTTAGTTTTAGACTCGGAATTCATTTTAATACAGTTTAACCCAGAACTTAGGCGACATCGAAAGTAATTATAAAATGTCGTCTTTACATTTTTTAAATTTGTGTGTTCTGATTTACATAAATTTAAATAATTTAAAAAAAAATAGCTATGAAATACTATTATCAGTAGGTTTAGAAAACGATATTTTATAAATTCTTTTGATGTCTCCGAAGTTCTGGGTTTATAATATTTAGAGAAGAAGACAAATTCTACCTTGAAATTTCTCCGGCCCCATGTTTTGTGTAACAGCTAAAACACTGTCAGAAGTTATTCTGTCAGCTGACTGCTGACTGTCAGCTGACTGCTTTTCTGTTGTTATAGAGTCCCAAGAAACATCCTGACCACTGCTTAGCTCATTATCTAGCACTTTTATAGCATTGTCAAAATCATTTTCTTTCAGACAAAATGAGCTAAGAATGGAAAAAATTGGCTGACTATGAAGTCGGATGGATTTTAATTCAATAATTGGACGATTATCTGCCGGGTGATGAACGGTATGGGAATTACTGATGTCCCAGGCTGACTCTTCAACTTCATCAACTGTCTGAACCATGTTTTCATGCAAGGAACTCACAATAGAAAGAACCACTGGTTTGGTTTGATAATTATCTCCGCCATTTTGAAGTTGGTCAGCGGTGTGCAGCTGAACTGGTTCCACTGTGAACTGTAGGCGGGACAGCTCGTTGGTAAGTTCTACTGAGTGTGGGTGGGATGGATGGTTAGGAACAGGTTTAGATAAACTCATCCTTTCATCATTTTCTGAAATCATTATTATTTTAATACAAAATAAATCCAAACATCAACTACAGTTAGTAATCTCTGTTTGTATTTATGTTCGAGCATAACTCAGAAACCACTAGACTGATTTGTCTCAAACTCGGTTTAACCATTCGTAATTATTCTTAGTTTGACCAAAAAGTTTTAAGTTGAGTGGACAGACTTTTAAAGGGAAAGCTTAATTTTCAGCTAGGCAAAGCTGGATTTCCGAGCTATAAGCATAAAAAAAAAATTCTGGGATATATAAATAACAAAGAGATTCAAAAATTGCAGTTCTTCTTTTGTAATTTAACCAGAAATGCGTACTTTTGACTAACCATCTTTAAAATTCATAACATTTTTGTGTTTTTATTTCTTTTTCTCATAATCATTTGTCAAGCTCGCTAGAAATTTGGCTTCATTTTATGACCCTCTGGAGAAACATGATAAAATTTGCCAAGTCATTTTTCTTTTTTCTCAATTTTAAAATTATAAAAGTTATTAAAAAGTCGAGATTAGTTTATTCCCAATTTGCTGAAGTTTGATGTTTCGAGGAACAAGATAAGGGTTGCGGCCAGAATATTGACAGCTTAGACCATCTCCAATATGTCGTCATTCTTTTTAAAAAATAAAAATAATAAAAGTGCAATTTTTGTTGTGATTTCTGATTAGTGCATCTGCATTTAAGGTTTCCGTTCGGAATTCGAAATTAAAGGGTTTGCAATTTCGCGGAAGTAAAATCTACTTGCGTTGGAAACCTGCATTGCATTTATATTCTGCTGATTATACATTAATATTTAAACAAATTTGATAGATTAAACTTTTTGTTACTTTTTTTCTATGTATATCATATTTTTATCTTCTATATTCTTCATAATATATCTCTAGCTCTTAATGGATCAAAATATAATGGATGTGTAAAACCCAAGTTCCGCTATATCTCTATATCCCACCAGTCTATCTATCTATCAATAGATTCATTTCTAATACAATTATTATTCATTTTTCTAAACCACGCATATATATATTCAGAACATCACAAATATCTATGGCCGGAGATATCTTCAGAGGACTAAAGAAACACAGAACTTCACAGGTTTAAACAAGGTGTTTTTATAATAAGGGACTAAAGGGGATTGTTACACAATTGCTTACACATGACTACAGAAAACTACACAAGCTTACACAGGGTTACAGAGAACTACATTAGCTGACACAGGACTACAGAGGACTACACAAGCTTACACAGGATTACAGAGGACTACACAAGTTTAAACAGAACTACAAAGGAATACACAAGTATACACAGGACTACAGAGTTATACTACACAAGCTTACACAGGATTAAAGAGGACTACATTAGCTGCCAAAGGACTACAGAGAACTAAAAAAGCTTACGCAGGATTACAGAGGTCTACATTAGCTGCCACAGGACTACAGAGAACTACACAAGCTTACACAGGATTACAGAGGACTATAATTGCTTAAAGAGACAGAGAACTATACAAGCCTACAAAGGATCACAGATGACTGTAATTTTGTTTACATAGGGCTACAGAGGACTATATTAGTTTACATAGGGCTGCTTAGGACTATATAAGCGTACGTAGAACTGCAGAGAACACGATTACAAAGGACAAATTAGGCTTAAGCAGGACAACAGAGATTTACACAAGCTTACATACAGAGGACTACACAAGTTTAAACAGAACTACAAAGGAATACACAAGTATACACAGGACTACAGAGTTATACTACACAAGCTTACACAGGATTAAAGAGGACTACATTAGCTGCCAAAGGACTACAGAGAACTAAAAAAGCTTACGCAGGATTACAGAGGTCTACATTAGCTGCCACAGGACTACAGAGAACTACACAAGCTTACACAGGATTACAGAGGACTATAATTGCTTAAAGAGACAGAGAACTATACAAGCCTACAAAGGATCACAGATGACTGTAATTTTGTTTACATAGGGCTACAGAGGACTATATTAGTTTACATAGGGCTGCTTAGGACTATATAAGCGTACGTAGAACTGCAGAGAACACGATTACAAAGGACAAATTAGGCTTAAGCAGGACAACAGAGATTTACACAAGCTTACAAAGAACTGCAGAGCACTGCACAAGCTTACATACAGGACTACAGAGGACTATATAAGCTTACATACAAGACAACAGAGGACTACATAACCCTACACAGGACTACATAGGTCTATATAAGCTTACGTAGAACTGCAGAGGACTACACACGCTTACGCAGGACTACAGAGGGCTACTTACGCTTACGCAGGACAACAGTCACAGAAGACTACATAAGCTTACACAGGGTTACAGAGGACTACAGACTCACAAACTCACTCAATCTTTTTTGTAGCCCTAAACATTCAAATCTTAAAATGCAACAAGCAATTGTTTCTAGCTTAAGTTTATTAGGATAAATTGGCAAAATACTGCTCGATTATGTGCGGTGAGAACGTGAACATCTTGGTATCCAGTATAATCTCTCTCTGGGGGATTTGCAGCTGACGTTGTTAAGATATACAAGACAATTTCTAAACACTAAGGCGATATTGTATTATCTGCATGCATAATGCGTTTTGTATGACGGGGTTGGATGAGAAGAGGCAAAATTCAATGTCTAATAGAAAAATGTTATTTGTTAGTAGTTGGTAAATCATCATCTACTCTACTCTACTTGTCTGTCAACATTTTTGAATGAGCCAGATTAGTGGAAACAGTTGTATGCATCTTTATTTTGGTGTTTGATTATAAAAATAATTTCTTATTTAGAACTCCACGTACAATACTTCTCAAAAATGTGAAATATCTATTTTCAATTTCATGAACTTATTCATTCAATAAGCTATAACAAAATTTATTGTTTTTAAAATTTTACGAAGTGGAAATTTTGATAGAAAACAATTTCAAACCTTGATAAATATTGAATGTTAGATAAATTTATAATAAGCTCTTCGCTGAATTATTTGTTCGTTACAGCTGATCAAACGGCTGAACCAAATTGGCTGAAATATTTTGAGGAAACCCTTGGGTTATCCCGGGAGTGAAAAAGGCTAAAAAAATCAAAGAACTTTTAAAAATTCCATGGACAACCCGGCCCGGGCACTGCTAAAATCATGATTTAAGACCAAGCGCGGGTAAACGGTGGGAGTAACTATGAGTGACCTGTGGCCGAATTTAAAGAATTTGAGCGGCCGTTTAAATTTAAGCCACGGTTTAAATATGGTTGGTTCCACTTTAAATTGTATCAAATGCTTCAAGATTTAAGCCGGCGCTTAATTTAAACCGGGGTTTGGCAGATTTAAACCGCGGCTCAAATTCTTTAAATTCCATCTCCGGGCAACGCCTTTATCTCGTGATAAATGAATTTTGAATTTAATATTTAATATAAAAGATAAATATAAATATCTAGGAATAATATTGCCGGGTGAACAGAGCAAATGTTCCCCTATCATCTTGATGCTTGCTTGGAGGCAATTTAACTTTTAACTCTGTTGAAACTATTTCGAGATTAAATTTTCCAAGTGGATAATCTTTGCAAAAACAACTAAAGTCAAGGTTTAAACGAAACTGAGTCATTGCCACAAACTCAATTTTTCTAATCCCTATAGCTTTGTAACCTGATTAAGAAATCTTTTGACATTTCAAACTTAGATAATTTGATCTAACATAATTCATAGTTTGAAAAATCTAAGGTCTACTACATTGGGTTGCAAAGATATTGGGATTCGAAAAAAGAGATTGGAAAAACGACTTGTTAAAGTTTTTCTTAAACCTTAAAGGAGGAAAAATTATTTGTAAGTTTGAAAGTCTGAAATTTCAATATTGCACATCCCACAACAGGGTTACGAGGCCCCAACACCCAAACAAACCTAACCCCCCCCCCTAACGAACAAATCAATAACTATTTATAAGTATCACTATTGATTAAGCTCGCAGTGCTCTAAAGTTTTTGGACATAAATTTGCTCTTTATTGAAAAAATATTTCAGATTCAATCTGTCATGTGCAATGTTTTATAACTACGTATTTAACGAGCGTGGTGAATTAGTCTCAGATTCAACATAAAAAAATGTTCATCCTTTTTTATAATTTATTCTATTTTTTAGTTCTCCTTCATCCATTAGAAACTGGTGGCTGTAAGCCTGGATGCTTTGTTTCAGACAAAGCACTTAAGGTATTGCATTCTAATTGATTACTCTAGAAAGTGAGGCAGAATCTATTCCCAAGTTTAGGGAAAGACTGATTAGACCAAGGAACTATATACAGGAACGTCCAACTCAGATATACGTATATTATGTACTGTACACTGTGGGAGGAATGTAAACAAACCCAGTGCCCCCACAGAAGTTGAAGGGAAAGGGCTAAAGCTCTGATGTGATATTACAGTCCAACAAAAAACAAGTTAATATATCAGGTTAGAGCGAATATTTATGATTTTTGGCTTTCTTGTCAGTATGAAAAATATAATAGCAATATATTTTTATTCCACCCCTTGGACCCTTTCCCCTCAAAAATGGTGCGTTGCCCATAGATTCTTTGTTTTGATCTCCTCCCACTGCAGTACACAGATTTACCGCATGAGATATGGCAGTTTTCTTGGGCTAGATATGGTGGTTGAGATGAAAGTGCAGTATTGGTATCAAATGAATCCAAAAATTTTCTCTACAGTACTTCAACTCCAGCTCAACTAACATGTCTATACGGTATCTTACAACTCTTTGATTACTTGTTAACTTGAAATGCAAAAAAAGCTTGTTAACAACCTAAGCTTAAATGAAACGTCGTCTTTATTGTATTAATATATTCACTTACCACTGTATAGAAAAGCAATTTTCAATTGCTAAAATGCGCCGTAAGCTTATTGTGTAATGTTATTTGATTCTTCTCAACTTTTGGTTAATCATCTTTAAAGATTTATTTTATTATTATTTTTTCTACAGGGTGTCCCAAAAAACATGATAATTCAGTGACGAA